CCAGATTATAATGGATTGGAGTGTGACCAGAGGGTCTAGCCAGCTCACTACACTCCAAGGAAAGGCAATATGGAAAATTTAACCAGTTTACGATCGGTACCATTAGTATTGCAACTCTGAGCTGGCTGCTGAAGATGAGGACAAAGCGTGTATGGGAATGCTCTGAGTGCTGTGATGTCAATTCTTGACTCAACTCAACTCAATCAAATGGCATCACTACAATGTAGGTTGGCTGTACATTCTGAAAGGCAGCTGCAGACTGGATGTACATCTGTTAATTCTCTGGTTTCTTCTTTGTTCACTCTTAAAATGATGGTTGACATGTTGTGGTCTAAAGCCAAGCTATCATTTTCTTCTTCATCGCGTTCACTGGATATAAACTCTGGCGGAAGTTCTGGTTGTTCATCCACATCTAGACTCTAGTCCTGGTCCAGAAACTGAGTGTTGCATGCACATCCGTTCCACAGGTCTAAATCTTGTGCACTCAGACTACTGGTTCCTTGCCTCTCAGGCAGATGTACTCCGGCTTTAAAGGAAGCTTCAATAAATCAACTCTTACAACATGCCTTTGGGCAGCCAGTGGGTCTATTCTTGTTTTCCCCACAATGAGCCCCAGAACCCATACAGGAAAGCCAAGCTTTGATATCTGCACCTTTCTGCCAAATAAATCCTTAATCAGACACCGCTTCTGACATTTTTTAAAAGCAGCAGGTCTATCAGACCTCTCCCCCTCCCCCTTTTTTTTAGCCTGTGGTCCAGACAGGGAATTTTCTGGTTTTATCATTAATAGTATGTGCTTGCTGTGACTTTATTGATGTTTAGTATAACCTCAGTAGATGCACAAGCCACATATCTATTCAATCAACAATTACTTATGTAGCTCTCTTAGATATAAGCATCTCTTTTGTGTTGTTTATAGCAGATAAGCAAAATTCTTCGACAATATTTGTAAACCAAAAGGCGGATCTTATGATCGATATCTAAGTGTCAAATTCTCACAATCATAGAGAAATATATATGATATAAATTATCTAACAATTTTAGTTTCATGGGGAAACTGTGCATCACCATACTGGGCAAAGATTTGCTGATAGATTTTTGTAGGTAGTTCAGTGATCAGAAAACGGATAATGGAATAATGATCTTCTTTCGTGCATGTCAAAAGTGGGTTGTCATGCACTTTTGACATCCTAATCAACACTATTTACAGGTTACAAGACAATGGCATAATTACTGTAATTCCTATAACATTTTTAAGGTTTTCATTCGAAGCCCCTCACATTAACATTATACAAGATCATAAACATTTAAAAATGTTACATAAAGAGCACCATACTTCAGACAGAACAACAAAAAAAGGCAGTTTTGAAGAAAAAAAAAAAAAAAAAAAAACAAGGTTGAAAATAGACATTAGAGATTCATGAGTTGAGAACTGGCACATGAATGAGCCTTTCTGGCAGGCTGTGTGAGTGTGGCATTTTGCAAAGAACTTGCTACATGAATATGAACAGAAGCTATGTTCGATTCTAAAGGCATTTCTTGTAGAGACCATATTTGGTGTGATTTGAGCAAAGGACAGCACATTAAACAGGTATGGAATTCACTGGTCTAGCTAATACAACTATCTAAAAGACATACAAATGTAATACATGACACAAGACTATATTCTACTGTCAGTCACTTACATTTCGTATTGGCTTTTTCTCATGAGAAAGATCCGGGCTCTTAACCCTGAGGAAATTAACAGAATTTGCATGTTGTAACTAACAGAAGTATTTGAGGGGAATCCTTTTCTTGCACTCTTCCATTACTACATCTTTTGCACATTGTGCAAGAAAAGATTCCTTAAATGTCAACAATACAGAAACACACGTTATAATAAATAAACAAACATTGAAATGTGGTAAAACAAAGTTCAAATATTTAGTGCATTCATCTTCTCCTTTTTTTTTCAATTTCTTCTTCTTATAGCATTCACCAGCTGAAAACTCCAGCAGAAATTCTGACTGTTCATTCACTCCTCGACTTTGGTCTTGATGCAGAACTTGAGTTATACATGCATATCCATTTTACAGATCTGGTTATTTGTATGCAGACTGCTGGTTCCTTGTCTCCCAAACAGATGCACTCTGGCTTTGAAAGAAACACCCCTAACAAGGCGCCTCCTACAAAATGCTCGTTAGGGAGGGAATGGATTTATTCTTTGTGCTCCTAAATAAAGCCCGAGAGCCCACACTGGGATTTTTTCATTTCAACTCTCAATGGAGAAAAGGCCCTCAACAAAACCATGCCATGTCCTTTGCAGAGGTCACAAATAGCTGAATTTTGCAGTTTGAGGGATGAGGTAGTCAGTTTCATACCACCCTTCTTAAATCCAGCACTCTTAGCCTCTATCGTCAACGTTTATTTTAGGGTTTCTTTTGGACATCCTCGTTACCTCAATCCATATATTTCCCATTTCAGTACCTCCTGTACGACATGCATGATGGATAGTATTAGTATTCTTTGATCCTTTTATGTGCACTGCAGGTCAGTAAAAATCCAGACACTGGGGCCACGTTAGCGCAGTCTATAGGATACTCGCTTTCAAATCTAGCTGCGACTCCTTGCAGCCCACGGCCGGTGTTCCAAACACTCTGGGGTAAATGGAGGAACGTCGCTGTAGCTACGGAGCTGCGTGAGGACCGGAAGGCAATACAGGTATAGTTTTTTATCAGCCGTCTGTATTTGTCGCAGAGCACTTATGGTTTATAACCGTGTGCAATGACGCTGGTTCACATCTCCAGACTGTCCCTTTACTTTAGTCCAGACACTGCTGAAGATGTTACAAGAACCACTGGGCAGACAAATACATTAGCGACTAAGCCGTAGTGGCCCCTGCTAATATTATAGTTTTGAAAAATAACTAGACACAAGCTGGTTCTATTTTCACAGTACATTATGAATACAGTGTCTCTCATAAGTTTCTATATACAGGAAGAATAAATATATATTATGAAAACTATTTTTACTGACACAGTATGCTCTGCATGACTACCACTGTTTTGAGAACACATATCAATGTGTGTCCCCCACTGCTAAAGAACAAACAAGCAAACAAACTTGATTTTCAAAGGGTTACAAATTGAGCACGCAGGCCCGTCTGACATTCAGCCCTTCTAAACACTCATTTTTCAGAATAAAACTGCCTGTTATCAATAATGCATGTTATGGATGTAATAAAGAAATATACATAATGGAATAATGCATACACACATCATGTGTACACAATCTGACACACTCAAACACACACTCATGAATACATACTCTTATATTCTCATTCATGCACACTCATATACAGACATGCAATTCATACATACATGCATATACATACATACACAAACATAAAACACACACACATACATAGACATACATGCACAAACATAAAACACACACACATACATACAAAGACATACATGCACAAACATAAAACACACACACATACATACATAGATATACATGCACAAACATAAAACACACACACATACATACAAGGACGTACATGCACAAACATAAAACACACACACATACATACATAGACATACATGCACACACACATTCCATACATGCACACCTACACATGCATGCATGCATACACACACAATCACATATACAGACACCCACATATGCCCACAACACAAATACACTCACATGCATACATACACACACATTCATGCATAAATACACTCACATCTTTACACACATACATGCATACTTGCATACATACCTAAATACACACTCATACAAACACGGCTACATATGCATACATACATACATTCACAAACATATATACATACATACATAGATACATACATACATGCATACATACACCAACATACATTACACACACAAGCATGCATACACACATATACAATCATACATATATACACCCACACCCACAATCACACATACACCCACATACTTACAACATACATGCATAAATACACACACTTACAAACCTAAATATACATACATATACTACATACATACACACAGACCCACAATCACACACACCCAGATAATACATACGTACATATATACTTACATACACACATAGATACTGTTATACATACATATGCATCCATAATACATACCCACATACTTACACAGCTACATATATCTACATACATCCACAGCTACATATATTTACATACATCCACACGCATCCATAATACATACCCACATACTTACACAGCTACATATATCTACATACATCCACATACATACATAAATACACACACACATACACCCACATACTTTCACAGCTACATATATTTACATAAATCCACATACATAAATACGCACACACATACTTACACTGCTACATTGACATACATACATTCTTATACATACACATACACAGACATATGTAATACATACATACACTCACCTACATACATATAAGCAGACATACATACATCCACAAGTATACATACATACATAGGCTACACCTACATGCATACATAATACAAACCTTCATCTATACATACATCAACACACATACATACACAAACATAAAACACACACACATTCGTACACAGACATACATGCACACACACACATACATGCATATACATACATGCAAGCATACACACATATACAATCACACATACAGACACTCACATACATACACATATATATGCCTACATATATACATACTTACTTGCATACATAATACACACACCCACAATCACAAATACACTCATATATAATCACACATACACGTTTTAGCACAGCTAGAGTTACGCTTGTATGTCGATTGTGATATGTTTAATTTTGCTATGTATTAAACTTATGAGACACCCCAATAACATGTGCCTTAAAACTGCAATAGTAATAAAAACATGTAAACGTACAGTAAGTAAGTTCTGATAAACTGTCAGACAAATCATTATACTTTATAGGTAAGCATTTTGAACATGTTTTTTTTTTTAGTACAACTAAATAAAGATAAAAAGTACCCTCTTATGGCAGGTTTTCCCTCATCCTGTGGTAATATGTTCTCAAAGACCTCTTTTGCATAGGGTAGATTCTCTTCTATCTGTCTGCGAAAGTCCGAGTCATACCATGCATACCCTATTACACCACCAGCAACTACTGGAAGCCCTAGGCCAATCAACTTGAGGGTCTTGGAGGCCGCACTGTTGATAAAGTACACACACACACACAGCATTAGTAATGTACAGATCTCATTCTGTACAACCAAACATAGGTCACAGGACTGTCACGATAAAAGAATCAGTATTAGTAATGTACAGTATAAGAGTTTTGAAATGAATCATTACAGTTTGGTGAGTCATACGACGAGGAGTGACCAGAGGGTGTGGATGATATTCGACGCATTGAGAAAAGGCAAGATGGACATTTAATCAGACTGCTACTGGCACCATTGGTATTGGAACTCTTCATTGGCTGCTGAAGATGGGGATGGAGTGTTTACGGGAATGCTGCGAGTGGTGTGATGCGGTTTCTTGAATCAGCTCATCTCAACTCAAAGGTTTTGAAAATGACTGATAGTGAATGAGACAGGAGACTGTGGACAGACATGATCAGCCCCTGCCCCACAGCAGCGACTGCATTTAAGAAAAAAACAAAAAATATTTTAAAGAGATAAATTTAGACACAACCAAGCTGAACAACTTATTAATTATAATCAAATTCACATTTTTCAGACACACTCATATGTGTTCTGTCTTCCTCAGCAGATGCAGAAGTGTAAGAATGCTGATTGTTCCCACAACACACTGTGAATATATCTATGATTATCTCATATGAAATGCCAAGCATCTTGGTCATGTGAATTCATCAGGATTTGTGTGTTACCTAAGTTATTTTTTTTCCTCTGTCCTTCTCAAACACCTAGAGTCTTGGTCATATGATGAATTTATCAGGATCTGTGTGAAAATGTCATCATGTGAGACCTGAATTATTTTTCTTCTGCCCATATACGCTGTAAACTTCTGGCTGGAATCTATTGACAATAAAATACCTGAAGCCTGTTTACATCCTAGAATGCCTCTATACAGTTGGGTGGTGAATTGCCACTGGGTGGTGAATTGATAAATGACAAGGCAGATGTGGTCAAGGCCCTTTGGGAACAAGCAATGGAATTAGTAGAGAAACACAATTATTATGGCCTGGAGATAATGTGGCACCTGGGTGTAACTAGAAGGTCTGGCCGGCTCACTACACTCTGAGGAAAGGCAAGACGGACGTATAACCAGATTGTAACCAGTACCATCAGTATTAGAACTCTGCGCTGCTACTGAAGATGAGGATGGAGCATGCACGGGAATGCCCCGAGTGCTGTGATGTCAATTCTTGACTTAACTCAACTCTACAGATGTATAGTTCCAGTACTGGTCTTGCACATCCTGCTGGTTTCTAATCTAGGAAGAAAAGCTTTATAATAGTCACTATGGAGTTAACACATATGTACCAGGTTGAAAGTAATGTCTCTATACCAGGGGTGGGCAACCTTCTTTGGTCAGCGAGCCAGATTTAGAATTACCAACCTGGTCACAGGCCATATAGAAAAAAATCCAATATAAACATAACATTGTGAGCCTTGTAACACTGTTTTTTTTGGATAATCAAAGATTATAATCCCTCGCTATGCCTCTGGCCAGACACACTCACCTACTGAAGCTCTTCTATTCGGTATATTCTTTTCAGAGAAAAAGAACGGTTGTAGTCTTATTTTTTTTTTTATTAAAGTCTACAACCAGACACTGTTTCCTAATGTCTGAGTTTGTCCGTAACACGTGTTTCACTAGCAAGAATGACAACATCAATAAACGGACAGGACTAATTTATCATACACTTATTGATCAAGCAGAAGACAGAGAAAGATGGCAGGTTTTATGCGTTAGTGCTTCCATCGATAGACCTCCACGACCTTTACGGTTTGAGGGCTATGTTATGTTATTTGGATTTGTTCCTTTCTTCACATGAACATGTTTTTGTGATCTGCTTTTCTGTAAGCTTGAGGTCCAGATTATATAGTAATTTAATCCCAGCCTTGCTGGCCAGTAAACATTGCTCGGCAAGCTAGTTTCAGCCTGTGGGCCATAGTTTGCCTACCCCTACTCTATACTTATGTCAATCCTATAAAGCAACCTTTTTCAGGGCTCAGACTTGATAAATGCCAATTCACTGGACTTAAAAGTGTAACCCCCTCTTAGAGAGGATACACAATAACAACTAGCAACCAACAGTTCAACGTGCAATCGCTTCCAATTGATCTTAGAAAAAGAGTGTCCATTATGAAACATTATGGTCATACTGATGATATCCCTGTCTGATACCTAAACTGAAGTGGTAGAAGGGCTTATGTGTTTCAATGAGCTTATGTGTTTCAGTGAGCTCTAAAGATATGACCCCACTATCACACTGTAGCTACTGGCAGGGTAATCCCATGCCAGAACTTCTCAAGGGACAGGGATTAGACAAAGAATAAACCTCACACTATATAGGCAGATAAGGGATAGTCAGTGGCTAAAGAAAGTGAACCTGAAAAATGCTTGTCAAAATTGGATTTACAGAAGAAAAAAATGGTGGACTGTGATGACATGTTCTTTCATAACATACTAACATTTTGAGCATACTATATCAGCTTGGAAAATGCAGGTCCCTGTATTGTTAAGAATGCACAGTCTAATACTAAAAACACACACACAGGTGCTGGAATAAAGACAAAATAATGATGAGTATGAAATTGGCATTTAAGTTGTGATGACATGAATGGTGTACACGTTGTCAAGGCTATAAATACAGTTCAAGACTTTATGAATTATATTTTACAAACCTGGAAGGGCGCTTTGCAACTGGAGGTGGAACATTTTGTTTTGGACTGGCTGATTCTGTTGATAGGTATTTTAGTGCTGTTATAATGTGCCGCCCCTGTAAATATAACGGATAATCTGTGAACATCTGTATTTTCATACAGTGCATCTAGCAATTTAAAATATGAATTAATAATCAAATAAACTTTTTAAATATGAGGTCTGTATCCTGAGGGAACAAGATGCCATGGACTGTGTTGTATTCTTCGGTTCTCCTTGCAACTACGGCCACATATTGGGGGAGTACACCGAAGTTCAGTCCCCTGGCCACATTGCAATTACAGAATGGAGAAGGAACGAACAGCAACGTCGCAAACTTAAGGCATGGCATATATCTACACGAGGTTGTCGTCCACCAGACCAACTTCAGTGATGTCGCCCACAGTGACATCCACACCCAAATGATTGAAGGGCTCTGAATGCTACTCAAACGCAAAATTTGGCACTAGTGGGGCGCTATTGCCTTTATATTTAGCAGAATTCTAATGGCGCCACTGCCACAAGCAGCACATTTTCGGCCATTATTTGCAACTCCTGTGTCAAAATTATCAGATATAGCGGCCATCATTATGGGTAAGTACTCGACGTTACATGCGTTACCCTAACCCTAACCCTATGATGACAGCAGCGCACTGCACCCAACCCTACCCCTAACCCTATGATGACAGCAGTGCACTGCACGCTGTCTATCACTCACGCTGTCTATCGCCAACACACACTAATTACATCATTTGTTTCGTTCCCTCTTTTCCACTCCGAAATTGCAATGTGGCCAGGGGACTGAACTCCGGCGTATTCCCCCAATATGTGGCCATTGTTGCAAGGAGAGCCGTATTTTTCTTCTTCAGCGCTCCGAGCCCTTGAGGTTCACTGCTGCAGATAATATTATTTACCTCTCCGTCCTTTCTGTCTCACCTCTCTGCTTGCATTTTCCTCTCTGCCTGTCTCCTTCCCTCCATCTCTCACTTTGTCTGTCATCTTTTCCATCCTCAATCCTCCTACCTATCTTTCTCTTTCTTACCCTTTTTCCTCGTCTCTCTTTTTTTCATCTGTCCATCTGCCTGTCCCATTTCTTTATTTGTGTCCCTCTCTGTCTCTCGATCATTATCTATCTCAATCCTTCATCTCTGCCTCTCTTAGACACCCTTGAACAATGCCGAAATACATTGAAAAAACCTTTCAAAAAAGTTTGCAAATTTAGCTCCTTTTTTAATAATCCAACCAGTGGCTTTCAGTCCAATTCCCATTCTGATTTCGATACGTGAAACAATTAACTGCAGAAAAAGAAATCATATATAAATACCTTTCTGGTAGTCTGTGTTCTCCACATGTTGTCTGGCTAAAAGTCTTCTTTTAAAAAAAAATAATTGCGCTGTCTAAGAAATACTCCCCGCACTATTCTATACTAAATTGATCCAGCCTTGCCACAGTAAAACTGTATACAGATCCAAGGAGAAGACCTTGTGCCAGGAGTTTGCACGAATTACCGGCCAACTCAACCGCCAGCTTCGTATAGACACTGTATTAGACTCAGTCACTTTTAGCAAGGAAAGAGGTTTCTTATTTTGTGAAAGACAGTACATCACGTATTATAGGTAACAGTGTAAACGAATATTTTTTTTCTTTAGGGGGGGGGGGGATTTTTACTGAAAGCAAAAAACGTGGCAAGCTAGTTGGAATATTCGTTTTAACTAAATAAATAATAAATTACATATTTGGGGAGTGAGGTTATTAGTCAATAACTCATGAAAACAAAGATTTTGTTTCTGGCTGTACGCAGTACCAGAACACTTTCTTAGCATAATTTTTCAGCGCTACTGTGATGGACATTTTGTGGGCACACCGGTACCTTGTTTAGACCCTTTTTTGGTGAGTATGTTTTCGATTTTTAAAAAAGGCCCTAATACATAATGTAGATAATTATTACAATATTTTCATGAAATGTGTTTAATTATTTTCATTGATTTAAACAAGATAAACTGAAGTTATTAGAAATAGGCATTCTAAATTAATAATAAATAATCCACGTATAGTATTGATATACAAAAAACGAGGCAGTCCTTCTCGAGACAGATACGGTAAGGTGATTAGAGAAATCATACGCAGTCAGTATTGTTATAAATTTTATAGGAATGAATGTACTCGAGAATTTGGTTACAACTAGCAAGATTGTTGGGTAAAGAGCAAAATAAAGGCAAAGATATAAATACCTTGGTGCTTTAGCAATACGGATGGGGTGAGACAAGAACATTGACCTGATCAATCATTCTTGTGATAGTGTGGTTTGACATGACAGCCTACCCTTATCATCACAACACATAATAATGATGATGATAGTCCTGAAATATGATTATTTGTTACTGAATGAATAATAAAATAACCAACTTTTGTCACGTTACAAAGAGGAGTACTGTTCTGTTATTCATTTTTTTTTTAAACCAGTGGGGGAAAAAAGGGGGGGTTGGTGAAAAAATTGTTGCCTACAATTTCATAGTTTTTGACTTCATAATTTTGGAAACATTAGATGTGTAACAACTGGCAAGAAAAGCAGAACCGACTTGCAGGTGTAAATGTTGTGCCGAGAATAAATGCGAAGCGAAACTTTTTTGGCTGGAGAATCAGCCGAGTACATATATTAAGTGGCGGCGTCCGTGGCTTAGATTGCAAACTACCCAGTTTTGTCCTTTTTAGGACGAAATGTGTTGTTATTTGAAGCCCCACCCTGACTTTTTCCAGAGGCCGCAATATAGGCAGGCCATAAATATGACCAGTTGTCTGAACGCGGTTTCTGAGACCTCTCCACAGCGATCCTCATCCGCATGGTGGCACTTTGTGTAATCGGGTGTTTATCGCTTGTGTGATGTCCTGGTAGGGTAGAAAGTCAGTCAGTCCGTGGCTTAGGCGTTGCGAATTCCAACGTACTGCGATCTAAACGCACTGCTGTTTGCGTGGATTTTTATCGTTGTATGGGGCGTCGCAGGTCGACCTAGCCTAAAATGGGTACCAGGATGTATGTCCTGAGGAAGTATAGACGGCTGGCGTTATGCTGACCACATTACCCACCTAGTGCCGATTGGTCAGTAAAAAATATTGGTGCTTTTATCATATGCCAGATGCGCCCAAAGGCGTGAAAAGGGATCTTTACTTTACTTTATACATATTAAGTGTGTTTGAAAATAGAAAGAAGTTCATACTTCTCGCGCCAGTGGCATATCGAGCGTATTATGCTAGATAGACTTACAATTTTGTAGACCAGTCGCCATTCGACAGGCGAAGAGGTCAACATCACGCTGCTTGCATTTACTTCTCCGGACTTTTACCTGGTACCTGGCGCGCTGCAACCAAGAAATCTTGGGAAGGCGCAGCCAGCTTATAATATTCTGGGGATGGGGCTGAAGGGGCGTAAACGTTGTTCAAGTGCGTAATAATAACATTATTATTATGTGTAGAATGTTAAATAAATATGGTAACAAAACTCGTGTCTTTCAGGTTTATGTTCTCAGCACTCTGCTTTATGGCAGTGAAACTTGGTCAACTTATTCGCACCAGGAGAGACAGCTAAATAGCTTACACGTGATATGCCTCAAAAGAAAACTTGGCAGGACAAAATCACAAACACTACTGGAAAGAGGGGGTACTACAACAGTCTTCTCCATGCTCAGTCTACGAAGGCTCAGGTGGCTGGTCACACCTGGAGAATGGAGAATGGCAGAGTCCCTAAGGACATCCTTTATGGTGAATTAACGATGGGTAAAAGATGTCGAGGGAGTCGCCGTGGCGTGCGGATCGGAAGGTCGTGGATTTGGTCCCTGGCGGAGCCGGACTATCTTCAAAAATGACCTTGACTCCCAGGTCGACCCAGTCTTAAGTGGGTACCGGGTGCAGTCCCGGGAAGTAAAGGCGGCTGACGTGATGCTGACCACATCACCCATCTTGATTTATAAAGTCTAGTCCTATATGCTTAAAGGCGTGGAAAAGGGATCTTTACTTTTTTACTTTTAAAAGGTGTCGAGGCCGACCTCTACTACCCTATAAAGATGTGTGCAAGTCGGACATGAATGATATAGGTATTGAAGTAGGCGCATGGGAACAAAATGCCATGGACCGTGTTGTGTGGAGAGGGCATATCAGGAAGGGAATGAGAGTGAAGAAATAAATTATTGCAGAAAAGATAAGAGCTGAGCGTCTGAGGAGAAACGGATTAACACAAATGTTGACAACAATGGTCCTGAAATCCCATCCTATCATTGTGGAAGACTTTACTTGACATTGGCAGGTCTTGCTAGTCACACCGCTCGCCATCGCCATGGGCTGTAAGTCCAATCCTAATGTTTGAAATAATATAAAATGTATAAATGAATACTAAAAAAAGAGAATGTCTATACGGGGTTAGGAGCCCCATTTAAAACTTTATAGGAAGCAGAGCTCAGCATCCTTAAGAATTACTGGGGGTTTTAGGACCCTCACCTCCCCTTCCCCCGCCCCCCCCCCCCCCCCAATTTTTTTTTCTTAGAGGTCCTCAAGGTGGCTTCTCTGTCGAAGTTCGGGCGCCTATGCCTGACACCCATTTTAGGTAGGCAAGCGTAGGAGCCAAGGTTATTTTGGGAGCAAACATTGGACTAGATGCATATTTGACCTCAAGACCTTTATGAAGACTCTTGATCGTCTAGCCGCTACGTCACCGCTGATAACAGCATGTTTAGAAATGGGGACAGGCTTGTGTTCGCGTAAATTAAGCAAATTTTATATTATATGTCTGGGAGACATTGTGCATTATTATTTTTTTTTTAATTTAATTTAGAAACAGTGTTGATCTTCACTGTGATTTTTTAGACGGGATTAACTGATTTAAGAATCGACATCATAACACACCAGGCGTATCCATAGAAGCTCTTTTTCGCGCAGCAATGTCTTAAGATCTAGATGCTAACTGTTCTTGTAGCCCATAAGTCGTTCTCTTTCTCTCATAGTTCCTCCTTGCGGACACACTCTACTAATTCCTCGTTTACGTAATCTTGCACATGTTATTTAATCTAATCTCATGTCTTCTGTCAACATCAGTTCTTATGTGGTCTTCGGAATATCTCCCTTGTCCAGTACGACTGTAACTGTAGCTATCGCTTTTATAGCCAGAAAATCAACTCTTTCGTCCCACTGCATAAACTCCTGCATGTCCAGGACAGTATATCCACGTGATTGCAATGTTGGCGTACTCATAATTTGTATTCATTCATGATACATTAGTGCACTTTGAACCTTCCGAAGTACCGACTGAGAATCAGACCCAATAATTCATATGCTAACTTTGTTTTTTGCTATCCGAATCAGAGCTGCAGTGATCGCCTCCACCTCCATCCTCATGCTTGAAATTGTAGATTTAAAAAAAGCTCCATTTTGTTCTGCCACAATTTTTCTCTTCACTCTAGCTGAAAATCCTCAGCCAAATCTTCCACCCTGATAAACAAAACCATCGGTGTACACTATTGCATTTCAAGCAAAGCGTTTTCGTCTACCAGTTGTTGTACGTTTTAGACGGGATTAAATGTTATAATCCCTTTACACTATTCTACAAACTGAAGAAAGGAATTGAATGGCTGCCAATTATAAGTGGATCAAAACTATTACAAGTTTCATTATTTTTTTTTTTTTATTTCTTATCATGCTTTCAGTATATATGTTGGATAAGTATCTGGCCGACGCTCAATACTCAGGGGAAGGATGAGACGGATATACACTCAGATTTTTACTGGTACCGTCGGAATTGGAACTCTTCGCTTGCTGCTAAAGATGGGGAATGAGCACTTATGGCAATGTCCCGAGTGATGTGGATTCCTAATTCAACATATTGAATAAGTATGTTATGAAATACATTACTGCAAAACATAAACATTCTTTATCAGGAATAGATGGTGGGCGAGGCTTAGGCATCTTGAAAAGCCCTTGAATATGGTGACCCACACTGTCTTTAGAAGTCACCGTGGGGGGAGCGGCTAGACGCTCGCTTCGGATCGGAACGTCGTGGGTTTGTTGCCTGGCGAAGCCTGAAATTTTTCCAAAATGACCATGGCTCCTAGGTTGACCCAGCCTTGAGTGGGTACCGGTTGCAGTCCCGGGAAGTAAAGGCGGCTGGCGTGATGCTGACCACGTCACCCATCTTGTGCCGATTGATCTATGAAATATAGGTCTAGCCCTATATGCCCTAAAGGCGTGGAAAAGTGTTCTTTACTTTTTCTACACTGTCTTTAGGATCTAGAGATGGCCGTGAGTGAGCATACATCCAAGTTTTTACCGGGACAGTCTCTCGTTTTTTTTTCAGTGTGTCCTGGCCAA